AAATCATAGTTTCGACCTTTGCAGACAACTCGTATTTTGAATATATAGTCTGAGAGCCTTGATCAGAAACCAACTTTCCTGAAGGGTTAACGTAACTGTGTGTATCGATCACGGCACAATCCTCATCAACACATTCTTCATCAATAAAACTGCTTTCGTCGACTGTCGGTTCAACTTCTTGTGACTCCTGATCATGATCATCAGAAACTGTAATATCGTTAGATAATTGTTCCTCGTAGTTGTCATCGAATAATTTCTGTTTCTTTGACGCTGGATTTTCTCTTTCTTTCGGTGCTTTTCTCTTGGGAGCACGTGCTCGACTTGCTTGCGCTGGTCTTAGATTTGCCTTCAGTGGATCGGGAAATTCGGCTGTTGGACCTTTTTCGCCAGGCCAGTGAAGAGCACAAATATAAGTGTTTCTTGTTATGTTTTTCTCCGTAAAAAATTCACGCGAACAAGCTACTAGCCAACGCTTGCACTTTGCCATGTCTTGCGAAGGTTTTGGGAAAGGAATAAATACTTTCTTCCCCGATTCCTCTAACTCTTTCAGTGATTTTGGCCATTTATCTGCATATCTTGAGTCTGTCTTGCACTCACCCCAACAACAGTGTTTGGTACCAACCATGCCGCTTCCTTTTAGAACGCTAAGTCGTTTTTTGACGAAATTTTCCGTCGTTTTGTTTCAATTTTACAACTCTCGCTCACACATTTCCTTTAAGCTGGTCGCAATGTTTGTCTGAGTCTGTGTGGGGGGTCTCATAGGCTATCATGTAACAAAATCTATTTTTAGTAATAGTATAAAGCGCTATTCTGACTCTTCGTCGTCAGATTATTCAAATTGTCCGCCATTATTTTTTTCGTAACTACAATTCAAGTCTTCGCTTGCGCGATGCGAGAAAACACTCTCCGTCACACTCGCGCTTGAAATCACTCTGAAGCATGCTTGTAGCGTCAGACAAGCAAACCCAAGCACGTGCTAGAGATTGGAGCAAGCGGGATCTGGTCACATTGAACGGAGTTAATAGCTCTTTCAATGCAGAGTTAATTAAATCTGCATTGAAAGAACAACAGCCTGCTTAAATTTGTCGTGGTTCGATATGGACCAATTTTCAATGCTCCTGTTTTTGTGTACCTTTCTTCGCGCTCTCCGCGAACGGGAGAGAAGAAATACGGCTTTAAGACGAAGAAGACGCCAACATTTTTTCTTTCAAAACACCAGGTTGGCACATGGTATTTTTTCAAACATCTTAAACATATTTAACAATGCTCAACACAGAACTTGTTTAAAAGCCAAAAAATCTGGGAAAGATCGAGATGTCAAACAATGCTTCACCTGATTGGTCAATTGTTTGTCTAGCTCAGCTCAAGAGCACTCTGTAGTGCTCTTGGGTTAAGCTGCGGCTCTTTTGAAGTTTAAGCAGCTCCTCCTTCTTTCTTAAGCAAGCAAGCATTGCCAAGTTTGATCGTTCACATTTATAACAAGCTAGGAATTTGTTAGATAACCTAAAACTGACCAAGTAAGCATGATCCTAGCGCAAGTGTGACCGAGTGGTAACTCACAAAGAACTAGCCTTAAACCGGCGTGATAATGGAACTAGTTTTTAATTATTGAAAACATATTTGATCCAACATATTTTTGTGTGCCATAGCAAAGTGTAAACTAAGTATTTATTGTTTTAAATGAAGTGATCTATCCGCACCTGATAGAAATATCCTTTAGGCACATTAGTACCTTTATGAAGGAAAAAACGAGAATTGGTGACTCTTGTTGGTAAGAAGCGATCGAGTATTGTTATGTGCATTACATAACACCTCCCTCAAAAAAGACTTGAAATACGGTGGAAAATCTGTCGTAAGTGCGTTATTAGCAAGTCAATTATAGAAATAAACGTACCGGCATCTACTGGAGGCAACTTCTGCATTTCGTAAGCTTGATGAATTGGGAGATGAGTCGGCTTTATTCCGGTTAAATGTTGAAAACCATGCCAGTACCCTACGGAGCCCGTAAAGGGCCATTATCAAACATAACTATTTGACGAGTTATGTGACGAGTTACGTGACTAGTTATTTGACGAGTTATTTGACTAGTTATGTGACGCGTTACGTGACGAGTTGTTGTAAAGGAAGAGCCTGGGTTGTGTGCGTTTGGCCTTGAACTTTCGTGACGAATTAATTGAGCAATACTTTCAAATGACGAGGAACTCAGTTTGCGGCAGTTGAAAAGAATACTAGCCCGTAGAGGCCTTAAAAGAGGGCAAAACGTTTCCGACCTGAGAACTGTTTTTGTCGCTATTGAACACTGAAGAGCATCGAGGAAGTGGAGGTGATATTGGATGTAGATCTGTTTGGCAAAGACTGGTAACAGATCGCGGCCTTATGGTTTCTAAAGAGACGGTACGAGTCTCCTGGAGGACGTTCGAATCTTCTATTTTCACTTCCAGAGGTATCAGGTACAAGAGAGTTTATGATTGAAGTGGACAAGGTTGACATCACTGTTGGTCAGCAACTCATGTGCGAAAGTAATACCGAGAAACTACTTAACTGCACACCAGAATTTTCAGATCTTGCCGACATCATCATGCATGAAAAGCACTGGCTCATGCCAAACTCACCTGATGAAGCAAAGGATTTGTACAGTGCTTTGATTGACCACATTGAAAAGCTCTAGACATTCTTTTTGAGTCTAGGGTTTCACAAGGGTTTCCCATCACCAGTCAGTGTGCTTTCAAATTCCAAGATCGAGAGCCTCGTTTTGATATTTTGATAGGCCAACTATTTAGCATGTATCAAAAGTGGTTTATTCCCAGTTTCTCTGACAGAATGTGAACTGTGACAACAACAACAATTGAAATATATTATAAACAATATAGTATGGCTGTTTACCTGAAAATAAAGCGGTCCTTAAGCAGCACCTTATTTCATGTTTTGAACAATAAACACTAATTACTAGCTACAGGCCAGCATAGCAGGTGCTTCATCGACTTTTCACACACAGAAGTAATCAGTTGGCATTTTTTTTTTTCTGTAAAATGTCCATACACTATTGCTGTAAAGCAGGCTTTGAACACCAAAGTCTGGATAGCATTCTCTGGCAGACATAAGGCAATAACCAGTTTTCAAAAAACACTGCTAGTGAAAAAATTGTAAAGGTTTTAGTAAATTGTTAGCCAAACAGATCTACTTCCAATATCACCTCCACTTCCTCGCTGCTCTTCAGTGTTCAATAGGGACAAAAACAGTTCTCAGGTCGGAAACGTTTTGCCCTTTTTTAAGGCCTCTAATCCAGTTTCAACTGTCGCAAACTGAGTTCCTCGTCATGCAGTAATAGAAGGCATGATAGTATTTCTGCGTGGTTTTATCCAATTTGAAAGTATTGCTCAATTAATTCATCCCGGAGGTTTGCTAAGCACTCAAGAAGCTAGAGTCGCTCTCGGCTATCGCCTCGAGCGACTCTTACGCTTCTTTCGTGCTTAGCAACCTCCCGCGTGCATCCATAACTCAATAGTGTACGCTGTGGTGTTTACCATTTGTTTATTATGTGATAGAAATGTGAGGCCAGTAGTGAATGGTTAGATATAGATATTTCTGTGATGAAACATCCTGTAAAAACCAGTTGAATTAAACCGACAAAAAAGAAAAGAGACCTAAATGGCGACTCTTATGAGACCCTTCCAAAACAAACCAAATTGTTATAATAAACGCCTGTTCTTAAGTTTCGTAATATGGGAAAAACGAGGATAAAGAAAATAAACATCTACAGTAAAAACAAATGAATGAAAACAGAGGAAGTTATCTTTAAAGTTGTTTTGATATGTAACTTTTATTTTAGTTAAGACACAAAATGATTTGAAAAAGATTAAGCAAGATGACGTAGTGGTGCAGTTTTAAATTTGAAGTGGACGATATAATTCATGATTGTTGTGTATTGACGTGATATGCAACACCTTTCAGAAGTAATACATAAACGCAGTGGATTAGTTATGAACCTTCTAAAGTTATACTGTGACAGATGTCAGCCGAGAAATACGTATCTGACCTCTTTCGCGGTAAAACAAAGTTCGTCCTTTTGAAATAGGTCAGACACTTCTCCTGTGGAATGAAATAATCTTGTACAAAAGGAAAAGGGAATTTCATTCGAGCTCCCCTCGTTATCTTGCTCTATAGAAATCAGGACGCGAGTTTAGACGAGGAATTTTTACAATGAATGCCATCAGCGACAGATCATCTCACGACAGGTTTATCTTTACGTTATCTTTTTAATTCGGCCTCTGCTTCCTTGAGTTTTCATTTTATTGATTTGTAAAATGTTTTCCTTCAAAAGAACTCCCGCATCCTGTAGAAATGAATTAATTCCACCCAAATAGTGAATGAAAATAGAAAAAAAAGGTGGTACAGTGCTAATGTTTTCCATCGATCCGATAACAGCAGTATCACATCATTCGTCGATTTTAATTGTCCTATTTCTCAGTTAATTCGCGATGTACATCGAATAGTTTCCAAATAGAAAATCTCAACATTCATATTTATAACAGACTATTTCATCTGAGCAGTTTGATTCGCTCCTATGGTTGAAGGGGCTACTTATTCTGAAGATTAGCCCAGGGATCAACGTTGTCAGGCTTTATTTGTACTAATGTAAGACACGGCTCGTTACATCCGGGGTTACGTCGTAGTCAACTGAAATTAAATAATTTCGGGATACATTATTATCTACAATATTCTTAGTCGAAATGATAAACGGTT